GGAATGGGGGTAGGAAATATTGGAAATCATACATGTGTGTTAAAGATGTCATCCCAGTGGGCAGGTAAATTGATTATTTAACTTTGGTGCATTTATAGAGACATTTAGGTCCAGGTTTAAATAAGACTGCTGGAAACAGGAAGGTAAACCCTAGAAAAATAGCAATAAATAGGACATCTAAAGTAAGAGTGATAGGGAGGTGGTGGTGGTGGTGTACAAGGGATTAAATGAGAAGCAGAAAGGGCTAAATCAGGCTCTCCAATTCAGAGGAAGAATGAGTGAGGGGAGGACAGAGGCAACAAGATCCTGTGCCTTTCTCTCCTTGAAGAATGTACATTCTCTCCCTCGTTGGAAGCATTTCACCTGATATATACTTACATGTAAGATGTATGTATAAACTTAGGAGACTATCAGATGGGTGGGCTTCAGTTCCTAACTAGTTAGAACTTGCATAGGTGGTGTGTTGGTGGGGAGGGTTGGGACTTTAACTTCTTATTTTCCATATGCATTTTTAAGTGATGAATTTTACTCTTAAAAATTAAATAAATGAATATGATAACTGTCTAAAAAGAATGGCATTAATAGGAAGTCAGGCAACTATAGCTAAGAACATTTTGCAAAAGGAAATCAATGGGTGGAACTTCTGCCAGATGTTAAAACCCATTTAAATGCTCCAATTATTATTACACCAGAGGCCCGATGCATGAAATTCGTGCAAGAGTAGGTCTTCCATGCCCTACCTCAGTGGTCGGCAAACCGCGGCTCGCAAGCCATATGCGGCTCTTTGGCCCCTTGAGTGTGGCTCTCCCACAAAATACTACGTGCGGGCACGCACGTACAATGCGAAGTTTACTTAAAACATTAAGTAAAGTTTATTAAGTTAATTTTAGGGAACGTTGTGGAGTGAAAGAAGATGTAGTGTCGAGGATTGAGAAAGGTATGTTGAGATGGCTTGGACATATAGAGAGGATGAACAAAAGGAGATAGATGAAACATGTATACAAGACAAGTGTGGATGGGAGAGTTGGAAGGGGTCGACCTCGCAGTTTTTCTATTTTGTTTGAAATAAAAATCCTAACCCAGCCTGTGTGGCTCAGTGGTTGGGCATTGACCTAGGAACCAGGAGGTCCCAGGTTCAATTCTAGTCTAGGGCACTTGCCCGGGTTGTGGGCTCAATCCCCAGTGGTGGGCATGCAGGAGGCAGCCAATCAATGATTTTCTCTCATCATTGATGTTTCTATCTCTCTCTCCCTCTTCTTTCCTATCTGAAATCAATAAAAATATGTTTATTTTTAAAAAAAAAAGGTAAGTCTTCCTTCCCTTGGCTGCTGGTACCGGCTTCCCTCTGGCACCCAGGACCAGGCCTCCCTCACAGCCCCAGCTTTGTCTGGAAGGTTGTCTGAAAGGACGTCCGGTCTAATTAGCATATTATACTTTTATTATTATAGATAATTCAAGACATCATCAAATGACAAATTATTAAGTTTCAAAAAAATCCAAGGTTAAAATTTAAAAACCATTAAATGAAATTTATAAAACTATAAAACTGATTTGGGATGGACAGGCATTCTAAGTATAAAATAAAAACCATTTAAAAAGACAAAAAGCTGACAATAGACCTTTAAAATAAATTTCTACACAGAAAATTAAGAAACCATGACATATATATCTCACACTATAAATAGTTATCATACAAGAAAATAGTTCAAAGGCCAGCAACCAACAGGGAACACGTTTGCCATGTACAGCATCTAGAAGGTTGAGAGACTTCATATATGGTGTGTCCTATAATCCCCAAGACATAACAACCTGATAGGAAAAAATGCAAAGGACAGAACAAAACTGATGGAGAATTAAAAAAGATCAAATATCCGATCATATTAGCAATGACAGAAATGCTAGTTTAACATTAAATTCTATGCTTCACTACTCAGATGAGAAATGACAGTGCCCGATCCTGGGAGACAGTGAAATGCACCACACGTAGACGGGTACAGTCTTCTGAGAAGGCACCGTGGCAAACGTATCAAAAGCCTTACTCAGACCCTCTGACTCAGGGACCCTGGTTCCACTTCTAAAGTCTGTATCTGGCACCCAGGACCTGGGCTTCCTTCCAGGAAGTAAATAAATAGTCAACATTTCACACAAAGACAAGTGAAAACTGTGTTCTTACTGTGAAACTGGACAACAACCGTAAAATACAACACTGTGTGGTCAGCCCAAAAACCTCCGTTCTCAAAGCATGTCTAACGACATGAGAAATCCCACAAACAGCCCCGCAGGGTGACTCACCCCACGCACCAAAGGCGGAGGGCTGGATTCCCGGTCAGGGCACGTACCCAGGTTGAGGGTTCGATGCCTGGTCTGTCACATGTGGGAGGCAACAGATGATGTCTCTCTCGCAAATCAATAAAAATATATCCTCGGTAAGGATTTTTAAAAAGGAAACGAAGCTCACAAATGGAGTGAAATAAGAGAACAGGGGCCCATGTCGGTAGCAGGATCATAATTGTCAAAGATGCATGTCCAAATATGCAGAGACAAGGTTAGCAGTGGTTCCCAAGTACGATTAGAGATTTTGATTTTATTTTTCCTCCAATTTTCCTCCTTCTACTTTTCTAAATCGTCCAAAAAACTGAATGAACAGGTATTTTTAATCAGGAAAATGTCGCTTAAAAAATCCAAAGTAAACACACTGATTTCAAATTAACACAGGATGGTAAGACCATGCGGCAGCTCTTCTTCCCTCTCCTTACCTTATCCGTGTTGAGCAAAGGGTAAACTCTTAAAAATCCTGGTATGTTGACTGTCCAAAGTTGACTGATTAAAGGCGGAAGGGGGTGGAGAGAAGGTGGGGGAAGCAGGAGGCGGTGTGCTCAGCCCTCTCCCTCCTCAGCACCACAGGACGGGCCAAGAATGAGAACCGCCTCGCAGCGCGTGCTCTGTGAACCCCCTCCCAGGTCTTCTTGCTGCGTCCAGGCCAGACAGCGAAGCAGCTGCTCAGAGGGACACAGCTGTGACCTTCTGTGGGAGAAAGGACAGAGGCGAAGCCCTTCCACAAACAAGCGCGGATCAGAGCAGCTGCCCCGAGGCCTGGGCACCGGCGTGAGTGGCCCCCGCCTGGGCACCGGCGTGAGTGGCCCCCGCCTGGGCACCGGCGTGAGTGGCCACCGCCTGGGCAGAGGGAGCACAAACCTCGGGGCCTGAGCCAGGCGCCCTTGCTGACAAACGTGGCTTCACTGAGGCCACAGGGCTGCCCACAGGGATAAGCGTGTCCTTCCCCGGAGGCACCTGCTCATCCTACCTGGTCCCGGCCCGGACACTGGCCAGGGCAGCAGTCAGGGAGATGGCTCATCAGGTTGGACTTCCACCCCGGCTGGCTTCCCAAGGAGGAGTCCAAGTTCCACAGAGAGGAGCAGGCTGCTGAGGCGCACCGCTAGCACAACAGCTCCTGCGACCGCCACCCCAGAAACCACTGTGTCCCCTGCCCCTACAGCTCCCCCGCAACCGCCACCCCAGAAACTGCTGTGTCCCCTGCCCCTACAGCTCCCCGACAATCGCCACCCCAGAAACCACTGTGTCCCCTTCCCCTACAGTTCCCCCGCAACCGCCACCCCAGAAACTGCTGTGTCCCCTGCCCCTACAGCTCCCCCGCAACCGCCACCCCAGAAACCACTGTGTCCCCTGCCCCTCTGCTCTACCCATGTAAAACTGAGGGGCAATTAACCTACTTAGGTGACCCAGGAAGGATGCAGTAAACACATACATACAATCACAGAGAAACCACAAAAATGCCACCGTCAGAACACTGATCCACGCGTCCTGATAAAGGGAGTCAGACATCACAGAGAAGCCACTGTCATCTCAGGCGCTCACACGCTTTCATTCCTTTAGACGTCACAAAATTAAACTTCCCGTTCACACATGGAAACACGGAGGCTCGGAGAGAAAGAAAAGGCAGCTCAAAGTCACAGAGTAGGAAACGCGGGCCTTGGAATTAGAACTTCAGGGGCCATGCCATTTCTCTCAGGACACGGGAGACGTCCTGCTCCTGTCGCCACAGAGGACTCCTGCCTGGCCCTGTGGGATCAGCCCCACGCTGCCTTAGGACAGGGCCAGCCTTCCTGCCGCTGCAGCTCCGGACCCACCCAACAGCTGAATCTCGGTCCAGGAAAGGACATCGGCCGAGGTCACAGTAACCAGTAATTATAACAATGGCTGCAATCACTAAGCATCTGCCCTCTGGAGGTCCTGCCCTAGGAATGTTATCCATATTTGGCCTGAGTAATTACAGAGTTGATGTGTCCATTTTTCAGATGAAAACACAGAGGCTCCACAAAGTCTCACAGCAGGAAATGGAATCAATCAGCTACCACAGCCTCCTTCCTAACCTCCACCTCTCCTGCTGTGATAAGATAATGAAACCCAAATCGGTGGTTTCTGGTTTTGGTCAAGGCCCCCTCCTCTGGGCAGTCTGCCCAGCCCCCGAATCCGCCCCGGCCCAGGGCTCCACCACTACCTTGGTTGAGGTAGGTCAGTGTCTCTTCATGCAGCTTCACGGCTGGGGACGTGGCAGCACACAGCACGTACTGCAGGGGTGGCAGGCGGGCCTCGCTCTCGGGGGACAGCTGGGGCTCCTCCTGCTTGAAGATGGGCAGCGCGAGCACATCACTGCAACACACAGAGGGAGGGGTCAGGGGCAACGACGGCCCCGCTGGGAGAAGTGGTGCACAACATTCATGCACTGGGGTGGGGTGGGGTGGGGGAGACCACGTCCTCAAGGGCAGCCCAGCAAAGCACAGGGCCGAGAGCTGGGTCAGCTTCCCAGGCCTCACAGCGCAAATACTTTCTGAAAGAGCAAACCAACCTAAGATGACTCTATTTTCTCTCAATGACCCGCAGGAGATCTATTCAATCAAATCATTAACGAGGAAAAAAATGCAAAGTCATCTAATACTGCAAATTACAGAAATCTGTGACAATGGGACTCCCAGCAATGGAGTGAGCCTTAGATGCCATTGGGTTTCCACCCATAAGAAAGACATTACAAAGTCTTGCTTTTAGAATACGACTCTGGACAAATATTGTAAATATTGTAATGGCTTAAATAAACTATTCTATTTATTGGCCACTTCTCAGAATAATACAGCCCTGTCCTTAGGGCTCTGAAAAACAGAAACTGCTGAGACATCCCGCCACACTTTAAAAATAAAAAGGACCGCTGGCCCCTAACCCCTATGTTAAGGGTCATGCTAGTACCTCCTCAATGCAAAACAAGAAGGAAGGACCTTGATTTCAATTCGGTTTTCTTATCCAAACGGGAAATGGGAAGATGCCCGACGATTCTTTTCCTCCACTTCTGAACCAAAATCCTCGCCATATCCCCCCCAAAAATCAGCCCCACATCAGCCTATGCCTGGAGAACCTATTACTGGATGTATTTTTAAATGCCCTTGCAAATTGGAAAGAAATCCTTGAGAACATGAGTGACCTGTGGGCAGACCTGATTAAGGCCTCCACATTATGAGCAGTGCAGGAACAGGTGCCAGAAAAGTGCCAGTGCCCTTATCTTGATAACGTGTCCCCCCCCCCCACCACCACCGTGTGCAGGGCTCTGAATCAGATTCCCTGGGCCCGCTGCGCTGTATAAACAGCAGCCACCGGTACACTCTGTTCCTCACACAGCACAATAAACGCATGTCTCTAAAACACAACCCAGCACACACCCAGCAATGTCTAACAATTCTCAGAAGGAAAGTCAGGTTTGGAGCACCTGGAGCACGGCCCGCGGTCCGCACCCTCCTCTCCGGGAGGCGGCCCCAGTGGTGTCTAGGAACAGAGGAAGAGCAGCAGGCCTGCTCACCTGGGGATCGTATAATAATTTCATGTTCGCCCAAACCATGGAGGTTAATAATCCACGGGCCGCTGCCTTTAAACACAACAAGGGGGCGGGGGGGCAGGGGTAAGAACCATCTCTCAACAGTAACTCGTTTCAAGCCTGGCATCCTTATTTGCCCAGGAATAAAGTCACGGGAACACCAAACAGACAAGGCAAAGGAGACAAGGCCACTGCCTGGTAAAGTCAAACCACCTGTCGTCTGCAGGGAGCGGGGAGACAGCCAAACATAAAACAGGAAAGCCCGGGAGAAAGGCAAGACCCTCACTCCAGAGTTGGGGGGACGAGGGGATATTCCGACCCCTCACCTCGGCGTTCACTGAGGTCAACTTCTACAAGGGGAAAACGCCAGCTTCCAAAAGCGAGATTTTTAAAAAAGGGCAGGGCCCCAGCCCATTTGGCTCAGTGCATAGAGTGTCAGCCATCTTACTGAAGGGTCCCAGGTTCCACTCCGATCAAGGGCACATACCTTGGTTGCAGGCTCGATCCCTGGCCCGGGTCGGGGCATGTGTGGGAGGCAACCTATCGGTGTATCTCTCTCACATCAATGTTTCTCCTTCTCTTCCCCTCCCTTCCACTCTCTTAAAAAACCAATGGAAAAATATCCTCAGGTGACGATTAACAAAAAAAATTTAAAATGGCATGGATATGGTTGGTGTGCTCAGTGGTTAGAGTGTCAGCCTGTGCACTGAAGGGTCATGGGTTCAATTCCCCGCCAAGGACACTACCTGGGTTGCAGGTTCAATCCCTGACCACCCTAGGGGCACATGCAGGAGGCAACCAATCAGTGTCTCTCCCACATCCATGTTTCTCTCTCTCCCTCCCTCTCTTCCTTCCATTCTCTCTAAAGATCAATAGAAAAAAAAATCCTCAGGATTAACAAAAAAAAAATTTTTAAAGGGGGCATGGACCAAATGCTTCTTTATCCATGGACCCAAAATGACCCCAGAAATCAATACGGCTTTATAGCTCCTTTCACCCCAATCCTCCCCTCCCCAATACCAAAATCCTAAAAGGTACCTCAGGTATCCCAAAGACAAATTTCCATCTCAGTAGCAGAGGCACCTCCCATGCACAGGAATTATTCCGTAATGGATGACATTTTACGTATCTGGGAAGATTTAAATACACTCACCCTCCATTCAAGGTCACCTTCAAAATCATTTTTAAGGTATGGCACATGCTTAACGGCCACAAACTAAAACTCGGGCAAAACTATGCCCTAAGCTGCATCACGCAGTAATAAAAAAATGCTGTAACATTTTGTAAGTGAATGGGCGCTCACACTTTCCCAGGGCAGAACATCCGCCAGGGCTGCACAAGTCCCCCAGAGCGGCTTCGCTCTGGTGACACCACAGGTTGCGGACACAGCCGTCAGTCCTTCATGAAGACCCCAGACTCATGCCATCGCCTATTACTCTGGCCATGAGTAAAACCAGCAGACATCAACTCAGCCATTCCTTCGCCTTCTAGAAGGGGTGTCTACAAGGAGGGCTATTGGACCAATGTCTGTCAGAAACAGATTCACAAATAAATCTGCATGGAAACTTCGAGGGGGAAAAAGAAAGAAAAAGACCCTCCCCAGGTGGCTCTCACTGTGGGGCCTCACTGCTCAAGGTCTCTGCTCCCGCACCAAGTGCCTTTTGGGATTAAACCCGGTACTTTCATAAACTGTGACCAGGGTGGAAACAGGACTGGCTAAAGCTGGTTCGGGCAAGCTCGGAAAATGAAATGACTGCACAACAGTGGTCAACAGTCCTCCAGGGAGGGACGCCAACGGGGTCCCACTGCCGGGGACAGAGGGGAACTCCGCACACAGGCAGGACTGGCTTCCCTCCGAAGAGCACAAGTCAAAGAAGGAAGATGCCCTCAAGGCCGGAGACGGGCGGGCCTCGGGCGAACGC